AACCCCAAAACCCCAAAACCCCAAAACCCCAAAACCCCATTGTCTTGTCCCAATATTGATCATAAATAAAAGGCTCTCCAATTTTGTTAATTTTAAACGATGACTAAACTAATCTGAAATCCAAACCAGATCACAACAAGAATCCATTTTTGGATAGATTTTTCAAGAATTTTTAAAGAATACTAAGATTTTGAGAAATTTAGCCCTACCTTCAGCCAAAGCTGGCTGCTTCACCAAGAGGTCATATTTCAATTAGAGACTGTTTAGAAGTCAAAGAATTTATTAAGCACAACCAAGGCAACAGTTGCAACACCAACGATTGGGAGATAAGTTTGAACCATCTCTCCATAAGTTGGCTCGGAATATGTCCTTTGTGGGAACATTCCAAGTCTAAGTCCAGCCTGATCGTGGATGATTTTCTGTCCCCTCAAGAAGGTATCTCCAAGGAGAGCAGCTGGCATGTCAATGTCAAAGAGATCGAAGATGCAGAATCCTCTGCCGCTTTGTTCATCTCTAGCAAATTCAGTGTATTCTGATGATGGAATTGAGATAGGATGTCCATTGAAGACAAACTCAATATCATCAAATTGAGAAATCTGAGACTCAGAGTTACATTCAACAGCAAAGAGTTGATCCTGAATGTTATAGATCTGTTTAGAACCAGCGATAGATCTGATGATAGTTTGGAGATCTCTTGAATTGAATCCGAGCAGAGAAGTTCCAGTGTCCCAGATAGTGCTTTCATATCTAAGGTTAAGCTTCTGTTTTCCTACAGAAAGTGAATCGAAATCAGCACTCCAGTAGTAAAGAGGATAACCCTTCATTGGCTTTAAGTTAACCCAGGTTACTTGGGATTGATCGTCCTTGTTTATTCCGAATTCCAGCCAAGATTCATCGATTCCTTCTTTACCAATGTAAACAGTGAATTCTTCTCCATCAATGATTCCAGCTTCATAAAGTTTGGTGAGATAAAGATCGGCATCTTCTCCGACAGGGGTCATTCCAACAATGCCATTTGGGGTATATCCCTCATTGTCTTTTCCTTCCTGAGCGAGGACGAACTTCATAGTGGTTCCCTTCTGTCCTTCGAGAGCGAATGTATCGTAAGAGATTGGGCCAGCAACATATCCAAGTCCATATGAGAGTTCCTTTCTTACTCCAGTGCTCTTATAAGTTGTTGAGGTTTTAGGATCAAACAACTTTTTGGAATCGGTACAGGTCGTACATCCAACTTCTGAGATGTAGATCCATCCTGATCCGGTATCAAAGGTTACATCAAAGACCTCTCCTCTGCTTCCTACGGCGCTCTGTCCGTAGTAAAGGACATTCTGGAGATTATCAATGTGAATTCTTGGATTATCAGAGTTGGCTTGCTTAGGAAGCTCAATAGTCATAGGAGATCTTCCCTCCTTCATGTAAGAGTCTAATTCAGCAGTAGATACAGCTTTGTAGTTGCCCTTGTTCAAGGCATCTTGCTTGTTAATGACAAAGCTCTTGTCAAGCTTTTGGGATTTCAAGTCTACTCTGTAGGCGTATGAGAAAGCCAACAGTGCAATCAATAAGATGGTTATTTTCATTACTAATTTATATAGCTCTTCAAATCCTTTTCCTTAAATGGGGTTTTGGGGTTTTGGGGTTTTGGGGTTTTGGGG